GAAGGAGCTTTGCTTTTCTTCCTGCATGTTTGCTGGCTAACAGCTGACGTGGGCTGTGCAAGCTCTGAGCTGTGTGGAAAGGCGAGACACGTAAATCCAAGGTCCTGCTGCTGGGCTGCATTCACCTCTGAATGGCACCTCCCAGTAATGTTTCTTGCTATTAACTCTTGATGTCTGCTCCAGCAAGTTCACATCCTCCAGTTTTTCTCTGAAAAAATATATAGCCCTTTTAAAATGAATGCTGATACAGTGCTGAAATGTAAATGTGCCCTAATCAGTGTTCATACTGTTAGAGGCTCTGTTTCTTACTAAACTTGTGAAAATAGTTTAGACATTCCTGATACAAATAGGGGTACTATAACTACAGTGATTTAAGGTCGTTCAAGTAATATACTACATATGTACGACAGAGATGAGCTTTTCAAGCACACAACCCCTTCTTTAAAGCCCACAACTTTGCATCTCTCTAGCCATCAAACTGCAAGGATTGTACCGGTCCCTGTCATTGAATGCAGTCGGCGTCCATCCTCATGGAAATCACACAAATGAAACCACATGCAGCCGTTAACGTGCCGGAACAATCTCACGCCAACCTGCTGTCAGTGAGAGAGTACTTCTCACCCCCTCGCCCACATGGTTTCGGATCTCACCCTCAAAGAAATACAGTCAAGACATTGAGATGTGCTGGGGAATTAAAATTCTTACCTCTGGTAGCTACAGAACATCTCCATCTCAATAGCGATAGTAGTTTTATGGCACGCTACAATTTCTTTTGTGCTTCACCTCAGCTAACCGCTCCGTGTTGTTCAGGTGGCAATTACCTGTGTGCCTCTCTCTCTGTCCCCCAGGGACAACCAACCTTGTCACCTCTTCTTTACTAACACCCCCCTCTGCTCCACAGGTACCAACCACCCTTTTGCCTCTAACTAAGCCATTAACTTAATCAAGCTAAATTAGAACAATTACTTTCGAGCTGTGCACAGTCTGCTGCTGAAGAAGGGCTTATGTGCTTGAAAGCTTGTCTGTGTTTTCCAGCTAAACCAGTTGGGCTACTGAAGGGTGCCTGCCTCTGCCTGTGAACCTGCCTGGGTGCCCCTGTGACCTGCTGTGGCACTGTGCTGCAGTGCTGCACCCAGTGCCTGTTCAGTCTTCCCCCCATCAAGTTTTACAGCTAGAAATCATTATTGGGTTTCTGAAACACCAAGAGCTCCCCTGCTGCCATTGCAAACACAAGTGCATACAAAGCCCTGCCAACTTCTCTCTTGCTGGAGTACTTCGTGTGAGCACGCCGCTGCAGCGTAACTTTTTTTCTTTCCCCAAGGTCCATGTAAATTTGCTTCTGGTAGAAGCTCGGATGCAAGCCGAACTACTTTATGCTCTGAGAGCTATTACACGCTATATGACCTGATGTCTCTGCTGCCTGCCGACGCCAGAATGTTCCGCAGCTGCAGTGGCAGAGGAAGATACGAAGCCTCAGGACCAAGGGTAGCTATAAGTTAAGATGCCCATTGTGCCATAACTCCTTTAGTTTCAGCTATTTCCATGTTTGGAACATCACTGCTGCCACTCGGCAGCGAGCGCTTGGCAGTGGACAGGGTTGTGCGGAAGCGCTGCCTGCTCATGGTATTTTGGCTTTAGACAGCACGGGACACTCTACGAACTTGTGGCAATATAGCAAATGATAGATACGTACATAGATCTTGTGTTAAGGCAAATACTACGGGAGCTGGAGCGTGAAAAGAAGTGGGACTTGGTGACACTTGCTTTCCCATTTAGAAAATCTTGATGCTGCTATTTGTGCTGGTGGAGTGAACAGACACAGGCTGTTCCAGTTAAGCTAAACGTGAAAGTGAGCACTGCTATTGTCTGAGCCTTTATTGTGTGTGGTTTCAAAAAAGCCTTGTTATTTAGATTTCTTTTTTAATCAGAACTAAACCTCTTCTGTCCACACTGATAATTTGAAAGATAGCAGTCAATTTTCTCAAATAGCTTAGCCTTAAAATGCATTATTTGGTGAGCTCCAAAGTGCAATGGTCTTCCTATGGAAAGAAGAGGACTCACGTCCTCAGAGCTTTGTAGAGATCTACCTACGTGAAGTAAGTGTTGAGTAGCGTCTTGTCCTGGTGCAGGAGCCAGGAGGAGGGGTGGGAATGTTTATCCCGACTGCCAAACAGTCCTACTGTGTTACATGCCCAACGCTGGTCTTACTGATTTTTGCAGTTGCTTAAGTAACTAAGCTAAAAACCATCTATTTTTAGTAAATCAAGACATGATTAAAATGCTGACGTTTAATATACAGTGGGTTTGGAGAACACATGAATACTTTTGTATGAGTGTGAATTGCTTTTTAAATTTGTCAGTATTACTGGTATTTTTTAAATAAAGGTAACAACTTTTTCTCTTGGCGTTTCTGTGTGGTTTAACTTGATGCTTCTGTTCTTGCTGATTTACTTCCTGCTTCAAAGACCATTTTAAAATGTTTGAAACAGTAACTGAGCAAACAAATGACAAACCTTGACTTTTTCAACTGAGTCTGAAATGATGGGAGAAAAAGTGTAAAAAAATAGATTCAGGTTGTCAGTAAAACTACAGCAGGACCACCTCCACCTCTGCTCAGGTACACTTTGCTGCATAGGGTTTTCTCTTTCCTCCCAGGTGCTGGGTGTGGTGTGATCAGAGATTCCCACTGTATGTTTGGATAATCACTTGCTTTCAATAACTAGCTCTAAATACTGTTTTAAGAGTTAAACCAATTTTAAAATCATCCAGTAGTGAACTCAGTTCCAGATGAGGCTGCTGGTTTTCCTAGGCTGGTGCCACAAGGCTCTCTGGCACCAGAGGGAGGGGGGTCAGGTCTGTGGTGCCTGACTGAGGAAGAGGAACAAGAGGCAAGAGGAGGGGGATTTGCTGCGAGGGGGAGACAAACTCTTCTGAACACCCTCCTACAGCTGGCGGTAATGGAGGTCACAGTGCACTCAGTGCCTGCTTACAGGAACGTAGGAGCCCACAGGTAGAATTAAACGAAGATGTCTGTCCCCGGCCTGGTTGTCCATTAGCTCAGACTGGTTTCTCTCATTACAGAACATTCTGAGAACAGTTTTAAGTTTACAGTCCAAGAAACTAAAACATCTAAAAAGATCTAGGGGAGAAAGATTAATAAACTGTCAAAAATTGTGACTAACAGGAAGCATCTGCTGCTTCCTCTTAACTAAAAATACAGGATTTTTAATGTTCCAAAAACAGAGCAAAACTTTCCTGTGTAAGGGCATATCATAAAGCTAAGCTGTGCCTAAGGACACAGAAGTGGTTTGTTTTTTTTTTCCAGTCTGTAAATGGAGTTTCTGATTCTCCTGCTGCTTTTTGGGGGGGGATCAAAGGTAGACATGAAATTTTCTGAGAAGCCTAACCTGACCATTCCCATCCTGTGCTCCCAGCCATGTGCAGGTCCCTGCAGGCACAGACTCCCTCTGTCTGTGCGAGTGACAGTGGCTTCTTAAAATGTTGTCAAACAGAGCACTAACCCCAACATGCAGACAATCCCAGCTACACACAGAGCTACCTACTTTGGAGAAAGGGCCAGAAAAGATTTGGGCGTTTCCTTTTAAAAATGCAGAGGTGTTTGTTGTCCTGAGCAGAAGGGGTTAACAAGGCTGTTGAGCACAGTGGCAACCAAAGCCAGTGGTGGGGTTCGTCTTTAAAAACAAAATGGTTAAGTTGCCAGATGCTCCTGCAGAGCCTCAGCCTGTGGCTTGCAAAGTGCAGCAGCTCATGTGCACAGCAGCAACTTGGGAACAACTGAAAGGAGAACACACGAGACCAGCAAAACCTTCAGGGATGGGGCTGCTTTGCCTTAGGGTGTCAAGTCCCAATCCAGAAAAGCCTCTTTCCTGCACAGCTGGACCCACAAGGACCTGAGGCAGGGATACCCATGCCACACAGCATCAAGTAAAGAAAGGGGTATCTCCAACGGGAGGGGGAGCAACTTTCCTCCTCCCCACTGCCACCATTCAATCTGGAGAGTGAAACTTACGATACAGCACAGCAGAACACCCCACCACCATTTGGGCTACTCTGTCACAGAATTTTGTCTAAGTTAAAAGCGTGTCAAAGGCTGTAGGTAAGATGTGGCTCTTGTCATGTAACATTCTTTTATACTGCACAGCACAGCGTTTTTGGTACCATAGAAGTCCAGGTACCCAGTGGTAATTTACCTTTTAAAAATCAGAAGTTCAGCAAATAGTTCTGTTTCTTTTCCCAGTCAAGAGACAGTACCCAGTATATAAATGCCAGGCTTTACTGACTTCTAAAAAATTAAGTTACCACGCTCTCCAACATGCTTAGCAATGGCAACGTACAGGTGTATTAGAAATACAAAGTTGTACAGTCTACCCCACCACCAAACAAGACTGGTTAAACAGGAGCAGTAGTAACAGTTTGCAGAACGGAGCAATGCCTTTGAATTCTACCAAGAAGTTTTTCCGCCACAGGTTTGAACTCTCTTTCCCAATACAGTTTGTGGTAGTCCCTTAAATCTCCATCGACGCTGTAATCCAGTGCTAGCTCTTCATCTGCAATCAAGGAAAATACCATCATCAGTGCTATAGAAAACCAGACCCAACTACATATTTTATGACCGCAGCACATACCACTTACCAGCTGTGTGTGCTGATGGCTTAAAACCAACTCTGTGTTTAAAGCAAACTGAGCATCACTGTTGCTGTTATTCTCATAGCTCCAAGGTGTAGCTAAACTGTCAAGCATTTACTGTGACTGTCAGCCTGGAAACTGCTCAGGTTTTCACGCTACCCACAGAAGTATTGCTAATGTAAGTCCAGCTGTGGTTCTCCTGTCGCAAATTGCCTTCCCTAATCTGGTTCACAAAGACTCTTTCTTATCTGCTGTCATACTTAAAGAACTCAAACCACACTAATGACTGCCCACACTACTGACTGTATCACTAATGCCCTCCCTTCCTCACAAACTTCATAAATAAAATAATAGGGCACTCTTAATAGAGACAAGCGATGTTAGGAATGAAAGGAGGTCCTCACATGTTCTTCCTCCTCCATTGGATATGGCAAAGAAGCAAACCCCTACAGGAAAAAAGAAATCGATCTGCAATGAGAAGCATGCTCCTGGATTGGGAATCTACAAACACAACTGATAATGCTGAACAGATATTTTCATACAGTTTAGGAGGAGGAGATTTGACAGCCTTTAGACCATAGACAGGCCTAAAATGAAGACACAATCCTGCACGCAATGGGCAGTGTGACTCCTTTGTCCTAGACTATGAAAAGGCACCAGATTCACAATCTGTTAAATAACTCCGTAAAGGAACTTACTGCACATCCACAGCAGGTAAAAGACAACTTGGAGCTAAAGAGAAACTTCAGTTACCCACATTTTGAGTCAAACTTTGTGTAGAAAAGAGATACTCAAACAGCAACAGTTCCCATTTAAAAGAATGCCAAGGTGCCTGTGCCTGCACAGGGCCTGAGCTGCAACAGCTATGGAGGAAGAGACAACGTTGCTCCTGCGTGGAGATGGCTCCATTTCACAGAACGTTCCCATCAGCTGCAAACTTCAAATACTTGACTTCTGTGTCACTACAGTGTTTCTAAAGTACCAGAATTAAAGAGATGCTGATTGTGAGGCAGATTCCAGACCCACAATGTTAGTCTAAATTGGGGCTCTGCATGGAGAAGATGCCATTTAGAGGTTTTGTATAATAAAGAGGAAAAAAAGCAATTATTTCAAGAAGGAAGGTACATCATATCTCTGCAGGAAGCAACCCTGTAATTTGAGATAAAATCCAGCCTCAGACATCAGCTATTTAGTCCATGTTATCATAGGATAACTTAGGTTGGACAGGACAGGACCTCTGGTCCATGTACTGTTGAGTATTGAACATCTCTGAGGATGGAGATTGCACTGCCTTTCTGGGCAGCCTGTTCCAGTGCTTGACCCCCGCCATGGTGGAAACTTCTTTTCCTAACATTTAACTGGAATTTTTCTTATTGCAGCTTGCCCAATAGTTCTTGTCCTATCACTGGCACAGTCGCCCAACGTAACTACAATGAAATCTCGGCAGCAGAGAAGTGATACACTCTGAAGAGGAAGGTAAGGGGTTGTGGTTTTTGTTTTCAAGGAGAATTGCTTTGCCTCCTCCTGAAATGATTCTTCTACCCAAATGAACTACCTTCTAACACACAGCAAGAGACATTTCTCCCTTTCATTAGACAGCTGTGCCCCCAGAAGTTGATTGAATGTTTATGAAATCACTGAGGTCGGGAATTGCAGCCTAAAAGAACAAGGGTCAGAACCAGTTCAAAAGCTGAAGTGTTGAACCAAAACAGTAAATTTCCCAAAGCAGAACGTGGGTGACACTGGGGATCAGCGAGGATCAGCGTCCCATGTGCAAGCTGTGCATCCTCAGATAATTTCATTTTCCCACGACCCACCTCAAAACTAGCCAAACTGGGTACTGGCCAAACAGCACAGGAACTGGCCGCAAGCCCAGGAACAAGACAAGCCCAGTATCTCTGCATGCTGTGGGGGAAGCTGAAAACAAGAGCGCAAACTCCAGCCTGCAAGGGTTACCCATCCCTGTGTCTCCAGCAAGACAAAGGCCAGCAGCCCTGGGAGCTCATCATGCCATGTAAGAGTTCACATGTGCTGAGATCCCAAAATAAACTCCTTGAACTGACAGTGGAGGTAAAGGTGAGCAGAAGAAAAGTCTGGGAAAGGAGAGGGAGAACGGAGGTTTCGCTGAATGACCAAAGAAGAATCTTCTCAAGACGGGGGCTCATCACTGCTGCTCCTGAGGGACCAGGGCAGGGCAAAGCTGCTGCCAGGGGCCTGAAGCACCGACCTCCAGGGGCTCTGAGCCAATGAAGTGACAAGAGACTCCAGAGCAGCTGAAAAGGCAAATGGCAGTGCCGCTGGAAAGCAGTGCCACTGCGTCTTGGGCTGCTGGTAGCAGGCAGGGGAAAAGAAAAAAAAATGGTGCCTTTTGTTCAGCATTTTTTGGGCCCA